GTAGGTGCATCATTTGTTGAAATTTTATTGGTCTAACTTGCCGATGCATCCTTTGTTGAAATTGGTTGCAAAATTGGTTGCCAAGCCAACAACCCAATTGACGGTGCATCCTTTGTTGAAAATAAGGAAAACCAATTAAATGAATTAGTTGGTAGAAATAGAATGGGGGCTTCTGCTTCTATTAATAGCTCACCCCAACAGGTTCTTTATTAATCCAAGTGAGAAACACAAAAGAAAAGCTTAGAGAGAAAAGCTTTAGTGATATAAAATTGAGAGCAATTTTCAAGGTGTAATTGGGTTTTGAGTTGTGAGTGTTTTTGTAAACACCTGTAAATTTTCTTCCTTTAGTAAAAGATCTGCAGCAGTCCAGAGAAGTAGGCATAATTGGACGAACTCCGTTATCAATTTTGTGTGTTATTATTCCTCTTTTATTTTGTATTCTCACTAATCTGGTTATAAGGAAATTACTCGTTTAATTTCCCAACAGTATGAGTGTACTACATCGAGACCAGAGATATCCCAAACTTTGGAGTGTATGGGCTACGTTGTTGGGAGCATTTCTTGTACTAATTTTCTTTGCTACGTAGATTTCATCGTTTGAGTGAAATAGATCACTTTATAACCTTCACTCACATAGGGACAAATATTATTACCTGCAAACCTTAACTATGCAAACCCACGGGTATGTGAACCTTTAGGTATGCGGAGCGTCAATCACCAGCGGCCACGTGTCGATCACTTATAAACCCCGCAAATACATTTTGCGTACGGTCTCCAGCAACCACATGCATCAACATCTGGTCTCTTTTCGTGACAAATAAATCTAAAACTATCAATTTTTAGGATGTCCAATCAATACTAATGACACAACAATTCTCAATCGACACATATCCAAAACATTATACATAGTCATGTAATGTAATAGAAGGATAGTACATATACACTTTTTCTTTAAAAAAAATCAAACCTACACTATCAGAGCAACCATCTGACCACTATATATGGTTATTGACTGCTTCACCAGTTAATATATATATATATTCGATTTTAAATGAATTAATTTAATAATTTAAATATTAATAATCATAAAAAATTAAATTGGCCTTCTAAGTGAGTTTTATGTGAGATGATGCGAAGCACAAAGTGCTTTGTCAGAGTTTGCCACTGAGGTGGATTAAAAGGGGAATCACAGTGGCCTTCTAAGTGATAACAATATTTACCAGACTGGCAGTTCAGTCATGGGTATACAATGATGTACAAGTTTCCATTTATTTTAACACTAATTAATTCAGTAGTCTCTCCCAACAAAAGCTAACTAAAAATATTAAAGATTAAATAATTAAAAATATAACAGAAAATATTAAAATAAATATTAAATAAAAATGTTAAACTTGGTAATGCCACTTTCTCAAAAAACAAAACATAAAAAAACCCAACCGACATTCTCTTGCCCAAGAGGCGGCTGACCTATTCATCATTCCAAGATTCAACACTATGGATGGCAAACTGGTACAATTTCGTGGATTCCGCACCGCACCCGCTCCAATTGGAGTGGGGATGGATTTAATTTTAGTGGGTAGTGGGCGAGTGTGGATTTAGAAAGTGGTACCCGTCGCGGGTAGTGAGCAGGTAATGTACTTGAGACCTTACCCGCCCCGCATCCACCCGCCCAGCTAAATATCCATTATATTTTGGATCATTATGAATTTAGGTGTAATTTTAGAGTCTAATTTATAAATCCTAATATTGTATAAGATATAACTTGTAATTTAACCAAATATTAGGGATAAGTTTATGCATGTTTTTCTTTCTTTCAAACCTCTCGTTACTGCGCCGATCTTTCAAACCTCTGATCTCCACTCTCCATCTTATTCAGGTACGTTTCTTCCCTTTTTACTTGAAATTTAATTTTTGTAAGAATAATTTCCGTAGTCATTTCGTTTTAAGCTCCTTTGCATTTCGTTTTAAGAGTTTAATATTTATTTGCTCATACTGATTTTTAATTATTTTTTAGATTCATCTCAATGTTTGTTTTAAGCTTAATTTCTTAATGTTCTGCAAATCAGTATCTTGTCACTGAGCACCCACGTTTTAGGCCAACAGGGTCAGATCGTTGCTTCTCAAACCTCTATTTTTAACACCACTGAATAGAATTAAGTGTTAAGAGATTCAATGTCTTCCTTGTGCTATATTACTTTCCCCTATTCTTGTCCCCGAAATTAAATTTATATTTTTTTTATCTTTTACTAACTGTAGAGTTGTCATTAGAATAATGACATTAAAAAATTTATATAGAGTCAAGTAAGCATCTTTTCTTCTTTTTTTTTTGGGATGTGTCAAGTAAGCTTATTTAGTTCGGTATAGTAATATCATTTGTTTTTTTTCTTCTAATCTCTACCGAGAATTCTGTTTTAGGCACCTTCTAAACTATATCTTGAAATGAAACACCAAATTTATTGTTTTTCTTATTGTTAACATATAAATAGAGGAGTAAATGAATGTTCTACCTACATCTTTCACATTTATTTATGATAAGTAAATGCATTGAAGAGAAATCTTTGTAATGATATGGTTGTCTTATCGTTTATGGTTAAAAGGCTGTAATTGTTTTTTGCTCATTTAAAAAGGGCCTATGTTGTATTCTCCTTTCTGGAGAGTTGTTATTTCAAGAGGTCTTAAATCATCTTAGTTTGCTTTGACAAAACTTAACTGTTCTCAGCTTTTGTTTTGGTTAAATTCGATGATATTTTCTCATGATTTTGATGGAATAGTTTAGTTCAAAGAAAGCAGATGATAGGGAAATATAAATATATAATGTCCTTGAATCATATGCGTGTAATTCAATTGCCCTTTCATGTTTTACTAAAAAACATAGCTTTCTTTCTTTTCTAATCCAATCTAGATTTTCTTGTTGGATAACATAGTTATAATTTTTAAAGCAAACCGAAGATCTAGTTACGTGGGTAGTGGGTGTGGGGATGGGGATGGATTTTAGAATGTACCTGCGTGGGCGGGTGTGGATTTGAAAATTTTTACCCATCATGGGTGGTGGGCGGGTGGTGGATTGAAAAATATTAAGTGGGTATGGGGATGGGGGAGGGGTATCCGTACCCGACCCACCCGTTTGCCTTTCCTTTACAACACACTTACACCTAGGTGCAGGGATGGACTTAGGCAATCACGTGGAGGCGTTCGTTTCTTTTAAAAGTTTAAAAAACACTTGTTATTTAATAATTTTTTATAATTTTTTAAAAAATAATAATATTACTAAGTTCTTTCAAAAAAATTAAAATTTTAAAAAATATATAAATATGACACGTGTCAATTAATGATTTTTTAATAGTTATTATTGTGTATGCATCTAAAAGTGTAAGGTTGAATACGTTAGATATTTATTTTTAATGAAAAATTATTTAGACACTTAAAGTTAACTCATGGTATAGTTTTGACACTTATTTTTGTATTAAACCAAAATATAAACATGACCGGTGTTATTTAAAGGGTTTTTTTAACGGTCATTACTACGTAAGCACCTAAAATTATAATGGTGAAAACATTAGGCACCTAAAAGTGTAATGGTGAAAACATTAGACACCTAAAAGTATAATGGAGAAAACGCTAGACACTTATTTTTAACGAAAAAATCTTTAAAAACCTAAAGTTAACTTATGATATAGTTTTGCACTTATTTTTATATTAATCTTTAAGAACCTAAAAGATAATGTTTCAAGTTGGAAACAATCAATTGACCGACTTCAATTTATATCATTTCTTCAAGGAACACTGCTTCGATTTGATAATTTTTCAGTTCCTTAGTTTAATCCTGTGAACCCCATCATCGGAGACGACCCCATCATGCCCATTTATTCTTTAACACTCAATGCTTCCATAAGCAAATGGGAGAACAAAGCAGGGATAGCATATAAACGAAGTATATAGCATTTGTAAAAATGTGATTTAGGGATTTGGGTATTGAGATTAAAGTAACGACAAGTCGGTCATTGAGTGGTTGACGACAACGACGGTCAATTGATCGCAGATGACCGACGACAATAATGAAAGTGAAAAAAATAGGATTTTGGGATTTTTTTGACTTTAGAGAAATTTAGGATTTATTTTAAATATATATATATATATATATATATAATTTTAATTTTTTAAAAATAAAAAAAATCCAAAAAAGTATAAACGTGACATGTGTCACTTAACGAATCTTTTTTAACAGTCGCTATAATATAAGCACCTAAAAATGTAATGAAAAAAACATTAAGCACATATTTTTAACGAAATTTTTTTTAGATACATAAAGTTAACTTATGGTATAATTTAGACATTTATTTTTGTATTAAGCTAAAAATCTTTAAAAAAATATATATATGTAAACAGTTACATCCCTTCCATTATTCTATATAACAAAGTAACTATTCACATATTTCATTCATCCGTTTTTCCTTATATTAAAAGAAAATTATAATATAAACTTATCGAGTGAACTCAGTGATAAAAAAATGTTATTTTGTTTAGAGATCATAAATTCGAACAACTTCGTCTATAGAATATGTGTTATCAATATATTAATAAAATTTTAAATAATTATTAGGTAAAAATATAACTTTTGCCCTTGTAATAGACCAAATTTATCATTTTCACTCATATCTTATTTTCGTATCAATTTAGTCCTTGAAGTTGTTCAATTGCATCATATTCTAAGTTAGAGATTAAGGGTTTTAAGTTAGAGATTAAGGTTTAGAGTTTAAAAGTTATGGGGTTATGATTTAAGATTTAAGATTATCAATTTAGGATTTTAAGTTAGAGGTATAGTGTAGAATGATACAATTAAATAACTTTGAGGGCTAAATTGATGTAAAAATACGATAATGACAAAATTGATAAAGTAAATATATTACAGAGGCAAAAGAGATTTTTAATCTTAATTATTATATTGGAATCATCCGACTATTGAGAGAAAACTATAATGTAAAAAAGAAAGAGCATCTTAAAACATTTGGGACTATTTTTTCCACTTGTCATCCCCACTTGTATGTTTGTGCTGCTTCTATTTACACGACACACGAGAACGGGAAGGGAATGTGACAATGCCAGCTCTTTTTGGTGAAAGAGTTCGGGCATTGTGACCATCACTTTGTCTATATATATTTTAAGGCCATGGGACAATATATATCTCTAAAATGTAAAGGCTACATGCCCTAATATTGTATGATTAGTCCTGCCATTGGGGATCTGTGGGGAGTACCCTTTCTACGCTTGGCATTTCTGTAATTAACCGCAGTTGGAGGGGGTGTCGAAGGACTAAACCTTCTCACTTTTTCTCTGTTGTTGTTCGTTGACATTCCATAGCTACTGCTGCTGTATGAATCCTCGGACTCCATTTCCCTCTTCTTTGATGTCCCAACTATCTGTATTTCAGCAGTCAGAATTGACCTTTGGACGAAAACTCAAATTTGATATTAGTTGAAGGATCAAATCATAACTTGACCCCTCCAGAATGATCCCACAATTTCTCGGCTACCAAACATCGCATTTGACTAACAAGATGATGAATGAAGAAAGGGTTTTGTTTACCTTGCAACCGAGAGAGCAAAAGCGGAAGGAATCGACAAGGCTTCGATCACAGACCTCACAAGTGTTGACGACACCTTTTCCAGGCCTTGGTTGAGGCCTTTCATTGAGGAAGACGACCTTAGCACTGTTTATTACATAGGTTTGAACTCCGGTTATGTCCAGGTATTTTTGTATCTCCGATACCCTTATTACATCATGGTACGAAGACCTCCTTATCTGTTAAAGAAACCAAAACAAAAGCTTATCAAATGGGAAATTAACAGACGAGTCCCATGAGAATTTCGTGGGTTACGCAGTCTTATCTGTCAAGTAATGCATTCATTCACGAGAAAGACATTTGGCTTTGTGGTTGGAAACACAGAAAATGATTTTGAAAATCGAGTGCTTGGATGCTGAGAAAACTTGAAGGAAAAGAAAATGGAAAGGATTGCACAAGTACAAACATCTCAGAGTAGTGAGACTAAAGTTTTAATCCTTGAATCAAAAAAAAGGTAAAATTTAGCAGAGAACAGAATCCCAGAAATGGAAAGCGAAAACTCAGAAAAGGGAATGAAAAAGGAAATGAATGGTGGATTACCTGAATATGACGATGATCCCTGTGATAAGCCAGACAACAAGAACATAGGGGGCCATTGATACAATCCAAGCAATACATATTACATTCGCTCTTGTGAGAATCAACATGAACCTTGCATTGAACGAAGAATTGTTCTCTTAATAAAGGTTTCAGCCATGGCGGCCACCTGTTGCTTTCTTCATCAGGTCCACCAGCTCCCTATCAAAAAAGAAGACATTAAACACACATTTCCAGTGAAACAAACATGTAGGGGGGAATCATATACCATGATTCTTCTGTTATTGGGCTTGATTTCACGGATAGTGGATTCTTGATTTTCGATCGCCAGCTTGAAACTCCGGGAGTATACTCTGCTGTCTTTTCAAGTGATAATTTAGAGAAGGCAAAGAGAAAAAAAAAATATTAAGAATGGGGATGGAGGAGGGGACGTTCTTATCAATACAAATACCACACCCGAACCTAAGTCCGAAGCTAAGCTTTGTGAATGACAGATGCGTTGAAGTGAGGTCCTCCCCTTTCTTTCATTTTCACTCTCTCTTTATATATTATAAAGTAGGGAGAAATATACAAATGACCCCTCAATTATAGAATATTATTTTGTTGAGTCCCTCTATTATTAATGATTACAAAATGGTTCTTATATTATAGGACATTATTTTGTTGAGTCATCTAACTATTAAAAACACTTATATATTTCAAACTCATTCTTTTTATTAAAAAATTGGTGGTCCTCTGAGTTGAACGTTGACATACTGACTTAGATATGATAAAATTTTATTATAATGATGTCTATTGATATCGTCGTTGCTTTTGAGTATCGGTAGACATCATAATGTTTCAAGCATTGCCTTGACAACATAATATAAATGGAGAATTGATCCACAAAATACAACTCATACTATTCTAAGATCATATTTTATCATGTCTCATTCAACAGGTTAACGTCCAACTCAAAATATTGTAATTTTTTAACGAAAAAGGATGAGTTTGGAACATATGAATAGTCTAGTGACCATTTTAAAACTATTAAAAGTAGGGGACTCAACAAATCAACACCTTATAATTAAAGGATTATTTTATAACTTTTAATAGTCAGAGACTCAACAAAATAACTCTCTATAGTTAGGGATCATTTGTGTACTTTACCCTTTAAAGTAATGATTTTTTTGTGTTAATAAACCCCCATTAATTATGGAAACATATTTATATTTTGGTAATTAATTTCAAGGGTAAATTTACATATTTAGTCACTTAACTATTTGTAAAGTTTTGTTTTAATCATCCAACTATTTTTTAAAATTATACATAATGTTATATTTTAGTTTCATTTCGGTGTCCCACTTTTAAAAAATTAACAAAAATGTTGACATAATTTCTTTTATTTTTTATAATGATGATGTATTATTATCTTATGGTTACCATTATTTTTTTAAAGATTGTTAACTAAAATATAATGTTAGGTGTCATTTCTAAAATTAAAACAGAATCGTATAAATAATTAGGAGACTAAATGCATAGTTGACCCTAATTCAATGGTGATTTATGATATTGGGCTGACTGTTACTCTTTTCTTTTCATGTGATGGGAGTCATAGATATGAATCTTTTTTTTTCAAATAGCTAATTAACATCAAATGTTATTCTTAATTCCACTTTTAAATTTAATTATAAAAAATATATACTATTCTTTTACATATTCTAATATTATATTTCCTAACACACATATATATATAAGTATTTTCTTTAAAAAAAATCAGGTTTGTACATATTTTAATTTTAATTCATTTCCATTCTTCAATAAAAAGTTAAAATAATTGAAATAAAATGATTCAAACTTAATATGATAGGATGAATAGTAAAATTTAAATATTAATGAGTCAGAATTAAAAAAAATAACTAAAAAAATTAATAAGAGACCATTTGAGTAAGACAAAAAGAATAATATTTTTATTTTTATTAAATAATTAATGATAAGATCTATATATTTAGGGCCTGTTTGGCTCGGGAAATGTGAGATTCCTATGGGAATGAAATCCACATTCCTATGTTTGGTTGGCTGGGAATTTCATTCCCGGTAATGTTTTATTACCAATAGTAGATTTTTTTGGGTATATTATTGGGAATGTCATTACCTTACTTTCCTTAGGTATTGTTGGATTATCAGCTTTTTGGACTAAAATGCCCTTAATTTTTTTTTCTCAAAAATATCATTCTTCTGTCATTGAATATTAAAAATTCTACAAATGTTAAATTACAAATTTATCCTTAAACTATTTTAGATTTACAAAAAAAAATCTATGATTAAAATTTTATATGAAGGTTAGAAGTTAAAATAAAATTTTATCCTTTCATTAAACCTTTTTATATTTTTAATTTTGTAAAAACAATTATATAAATTTTATGAATTTAAATTTTTAAAGAAAATATATAAATATTTTCCAACTTGTTAAAAAAACAAATATATAATAAGGACGATTTGGTTAAATATACATTCCAATAATCTTTTATTCCTTTAACCAAACACGGTAATCTTACATTCCTACTAAACCAACCAAACACAAAATACAACATTCCCAGTAATCTTATTCATTGATAATCTTTTATTCCCACTGGTAATCTTATATTCCGTGAATCAAACGCACCCTTAGTGTCATCATCCTATTCAAGTCGTATTAACATTTCATGTAAATAGTGGAGACTTAGAACTAGGGTAGCGGAGTAGTGTTGTCTTAGTTTAGGTTTTTACTCATTTGACTTTATTCCTTCTCGTAGTTTGCTATCGTTGACTTCTGTGTATCCTTCTATTCAGGTTTCCTCTTTTTAAATTTCGCCGGGTCTTACATTTATGTCTATATGCAGAGATTTTTACACAGGGATTTATTTGCAGGGATTACTTCCCATTACAGACGCGCATATGAAGACTGCATATGAAGACTTTTCAACTATGTATTTATTTATTTATACATGTATTGCATTTTATCTTTATTTTTAATTTTCTAACTGTCGGAGGTCTTCCACGGAAGCTGCTCTCAACCGAACATTCGGGTAAACCTACTACCCTACCTCCCCTTACCCCATTACATATGTAAATAGGATTTTATTGTTGTTGTTGATTTTGATTGATACATTTTCTCTGTTTTTATCGTTTCAATTATTCTTTTTACTGTTTTATTCTCCAACCTTTCCTATTATTTTCCTCCTTTCTATTTCGTCAGTTTATTCTTTTTGAAGGACAACATATATTATTCAATTACAATAATATTTAGGGTAAATTACACGTTTAGTAACTAAATTATCAGTTTAGATTCATTTTAGTATCTAAATTTTTATTTTTTTAAATCATATCTAACGTATAGTTTTTGTTTCATTTTAATATTTAGGATAAATTACAATAATATTTTTTTTATCGTCGTCCGCCGCGTCTACAATAGTCAGTCGTCGCATCTACCGGTCAATGAAGTCCAAACTTTTTAGCCCGTACCTTTTTGACCCCCTAAATGCGATTCTGGCCTTCATTTCACAGGAAAACGCCTCAATCTCTCCAAATCGACAATGGACTCTTTGATTTCTTCATCCTCCAATCTCTATGATCTATCGTTCGATGGGCCCGAAACTGAACTATGTTGGTCGACGCATCATTCTCTTGTGGTCCACCATTCATATTGGTTGTCCGCCCACTAGAGCTATGTCACGTCAGCCTCTCCGTTAAGTTTTTAACAACAGTGTACGAAAATGAAACAAAAACTAAATGTTAGGTATGATTTTGAAAAAAAATAAAAGTTGAGATACTAAAATAAATCAAAACTGATAGTTTAAGTACTAAACACATAGTTTACCCTAATATTTATCACGACACAATAATATTTTTTTTAAAATATTTTATGAACATCACTAATATTTTAGTTTATAATAATATATTTTCAACAAAGTATATGTGTGCGTTGAAGTAAAATGCATCTATCGAACGGTGAGAGAATTGTAAAAAAAATAATTAAATATTCATTAATATTTTGATAGGAACTAAAGTACTGCTGGAGTCTCACATTCTGTGATATTTAATTGTGCCAAACAGAAAATAGGAAGAATTATATAAAATAAATAGGAAATGAAGACAAAAAGGTTGGGAGGAAAACATAATTCATAGAAAAGTTCTATTGTGAGGTGGTTAAAATAAGATTAATAAACAACATGATCAATTAAAAATATAACATATTAAAAGTAGAATACGAAATGCTATAGTGCGAAATCAGAAAAGTTATCCATTTCGATAATAATAATGGTTGCAAATGAAAATGTTTCGATAATAAGAAAAGTTATCAATCATAGAAAACATAACAGTTTTAATTTAAAATGTTATAAATGATAAGAAAATAAGTTATAAACCGTCAATGTTATAAATATTATTAATATTTTAGGTTGCACATAAAATGTTATCAAAATTTAAGCTGATGGGACCTTAGATATTCTCACAATAACAAAATAAGTTAAAAGCTAAAAATGTTATAAATATTTATAAGAAATACGGTTGCGCCTAAGAATGTCATGATTTATTAAAAAAAATAGATTGCGATATGGAATCTTAATATTTTTATTAATAAAATTGGTTGCGACTAAATCAGATTTTAAGTTGATAGTACCTTAAACATTCACACGGTAACAAAATAAGTTAAAAACTAAAATGTTATAAATACCTATAACAAATCAGGTTGCGCTAAACAATGTCATGGTTCACTAAAAAAGTAGGTTGCGATCTGGAATGTTAATTTTTTTTATTAATAAAATGAGTTGCATCTAAAATGTTACCAGTGTTTAAGCTAATGGGCCTTACACATTCTCACGGTAACAAAATAAATTAAAAGATAAAATAATATAAATATCTATAATAAATCAGGTTGCGCCCAAGAATGTCATTGTTCACTTATAAAGTAGGTTGTGATTTGGAATATTAAATTTTTTTTATTAATAAAATGAGTTTCGCCTAAAATGTTATCAGAATTTAATTTGATGGGACCCTAGACATTTTCATTGTAATAAAATAAGTTAAAAGCTAAAATGTTATGAATATCTATAAAAAAAATCAGGTTGTGCCCAAAAATGTTATCGGTCGCTAAGAAAGTAGGTTGCAATATGAAATGTTAATATTTTGTGTAATAAATTTGATTGTGTCTACAATGTTACTTTAGCTTTGAACAAAATATGTTAAAAGCTAAAAATGTTACTTATATCTATAGTAAATTCGGTTGCGTCCAAGAATGAAGAAGTATCTTTATTTATTCAGAGTGAATCAAGACAAAAAATTAAGAAAGAAGTTTGAAATTTTAAATATTGATACTTAATATATGATTATC